CATGAGTTGATCACTTGATTTTAATAGTGTGTGACCCTGTGTGACCCCTTATGATATTCATGAATACAAACCCTAGTTCCTAGTGCTCAGATCAAAAATGATTTAGTGATAACAAAATTTATAAAACATGATGATATACACGAACTTATTAAATATGGTGAAAGACTGACTTGTGTAGATTTGAAACTCGATCAAGTAATTAATTAATTATCATTATCATTATCATATACTCTTATTTTATATATAACAACTATAAACACTAATCATTAAAAATCAATATGCATATATATATATGTGCACACATAATTATACTTAATATGGGTTGAGAAGTCTCTTTTTCAACAAATTTCATATGAAACACAATTGAGATGTGTAAAAGAAGAAGCCATTGTCCTTTCGTTAGAAAGATATCTTATTACACAACTTGCATTATCACAAGAAAATGCATACAAATTGAGTCTATCTTACATTTGCACCATATCAACTAAAAATTGGCTTCGTCAATTTGTCATAGACTATTATCCACGCCTAATAAGGTGTGGCAAAGATCTGATGTCAATTGCACAATAAATAATTGATGAAAAAAAACCCATCAAACGATACAATAGTTGGGTATGGTGCGGGAAGTGATTTATCTTTAGAAAAAACATATAATCTTAAAAATCTTCAATCTTAAATTTGGGTTTAAAATTTTTAAAGCTTGCTTATATGTATAAATAATTATAAAATATATTATATCAATTATTAAAAAAATATGTAATGATTGTTAAAAATTAATGACTATTAAAAAATAAAAAACATAAATGAAAAGCATAGGTATAAAAAAAAACATGTAATAATATAAACAATATGAAAGGGGCATCCACTAATCTAATTTTAAAAAATGATTTAATATTTCATTTTTTGTTATCAACATCAGAACAAAATTGCTCAATCCCAGGAAAGAGCAGAAAGTCGTATATATTTGAATATTGGCAATGCCCAATTTCTGGTGATTCCAGCTCCATGATAAATTGATTTCTTTAGATTGTATATATCCATTCTTAAATAAAAAATAATAAAAAATACAAATAAACAAAAAATAATTATTATATATTATTTAATCACCATAGATATTTATATTTAAACTTTTAAGTTTCTTAATTGATTTTTCATGACCTTTCAAAGCAGCCTTTTTATAATAAACTATTGCTTGTTATTTAATTAATAAGATTATTTGTTTTTCAAGTCGTGTCCATTAATTATAATGTAATAATTACATGAAAGCATTTAAATACAAGAATGTAATTTACACGCAAATGCGATGTTATTACACTTGCACTACTTAATATAATAATAGTATCTACAGTCACGGTCCCGTTTCCAACGAATCTATGGGGCACATAAGAAAGTTGTACTTAAACTTCGTAATACCAAATTACTAATCGCGTTTCAACGAATTTTATATATTTTCAAAATTATAATTCGTTGAATTGAGGTTTGACTAACTATAAATAAATAGTAAGCAATCCCGTTCTTCATTTTCAAAAAAAAGTTATTTGTAGGTACTTGGATCAATCAATTCAAAAATTCTTTTATTATATACTAAAACAAAAATAAAGATCTTTAAGCTAGAGGTTGGATCAGTTTGTTAAATTCGATTGCCCGAAATAATAGGAACTGAATTTACGTTGCAACCAGTGTTGTACATGGGACATGTCCGTCTAATATTGAGCGGACACGGACACTGTCCAAAAATGTCCGCGTAACAATTTGTCCGCTCATGTCTTGGACTGTTCGGAATCAGTAGCACAAACCACAAGTTAAACGTGAGAAAATGCCTTTACCACCTTTATTAACTCAACATATTATTTAAAACTAAACCAAAGCAATTCAAAAACGGTTTGTAAAGCATGTGTTGAAAAATTAGGAGATGTGAAAGGGAAGAAAAGGTGGTTTCCAAACAAAAAGGATCGAATAATTCAGCATTTAAAATTTTTTTTTGAAAAAACTAATGCTGATGAGCGAACAATAATTTTTGAGCTGCAACAAAGCAAAAATATATATCATCAATATCTGCAATCCATATCAATAATAGTGTGTAATACTTGTTTAAATATCTATCTTGCACACTTAAAATTGATTTACTTTTTTTTTTTTTTAAATAGATACTCCACATCAACCTTCATCTTGCTCAATTTCTACTTCTCATAATATTTTATATTTGTATTTTTATTTATAATTTCCATTTTATTAAATTATTGGAACAAAAATAAAAATTATATGACCAAGTGAAAGAAATCAATCAATCAACCAGTTAATTAAATAATTCTATATTAATAATTCAGAGCCTTGCTTGGGGTAGAGGCAGAAAGTTAATATAAAATTATTTTTTTACAAATAATTCATTTGTAATAAACATTTTCATAATTTAAAACAAATTAATTCTTTTTTGTTTAATAAAACACTTTTATGGTTGGAAATTAAACAGTAGGGTTTAACCTCCATTTGGTTATCAGAGTGGTTAAAGCAAAGATTTTTTTTTTTAGATATTTGTTTTAGAAAGCAAAGGTTTAATTTTTCGTTTTTGTTATAGTGTAAATGTTTTTGTTTAATTTTTTGTTAATTGACCACTTATACAAGTCATTATCACATTTTATTGTAAAGTAATTGTTGCAAACATACAGCTGACTTCAATTGGCCAAAGAAAGTAAAAATAAAGCAAATAAAAGGAACTCTACAGGAGCTTTATTGCTTTGTTAATTGTACTATAAAGTGTTTACAGATTCACCAAAGCTTTAAAAAAGAGGTACATATGTAAACTTGATAAGTTGGTCATGTGGGGGGTGAGCTCATATGGCTGACTTATTGAGTAAACTGACTTATCGAATTAAATTACTTGAAAATTTTGGCTGACTTATCAAGTAAACTGACTTATCAAGTAAACTGACTTATTGAGTGACTGACTTATTGAGTGACCGACTTATCAAGTTTACATATGTAGTAGGCAAAAATTTATATTTTTGTCCAAGAATAGTCTGGAACATTTAAAGTGATGGACACAGACACGAACAGTCCCGGACCAGACAGTCTATGTCCATGTCCATGTCCAGTGACAACACTGGTTGCAACTGATTTTAATCAAACTGGTTCCAACCTCTAATACAACTACACAAATTCTTGTAGCTCATAGAAAATGGTCTAATAGAAATTTTTGCAAACAAGTTGGAAAAGTGTTTGAAGAGATGGATGTAAGCATTATCAGGAAAAAATCTAGTAGAAACATAATCTATTAGATTATGTTTTACTTAGCTAGGTTATGTATCTACTATGATTAGATTATGTATCTACTATGACTAGAGTATGTATCTACTAGGTAGGTATAACTATGACTATGATCTTGGCAGGTTGTGTTGTATGCTCTGGTGGCTCTTTTTCTTTCTTTCAAAGTCATGTGCATTGTTGTGGTTGCTGGCTTTCAATTGGTTTGTGGAATATTTTCTCCACCAAGGCTGAGGCACAATGTGCTGATTGTGAGGGCTATGCCCAAACTGGATGCAAATCATCCTGGTTTGCAAATCTGCAATGATGTAATTATTAATAAATTAGACTAATTTGTAACCGAATGGTGCATTGATTGAGTAGTCTGATAAATTATTACAAAAATGTATGAATAGAACCTCTATCCTCCACAGCGTAGTGGAAATTTGAAATATTGCACCAATTTTTTATATTGTGCAATGTAATTTTACAACAACAAACATTCTGGCAATAAAAAGTAAGTGATAAACTGGATTTGAATTGGATCTGAACTGATCTTCAATTTAGAGAGGTAACAACAAACTTCTACTATGCTATCCCCACCTCTTGACCAAAAAGACCAATTTGTAAAAAATACACATCTCCTATACCACTATAAATAACACCACATCTCTTAGGCAATTTGCCAACTTTTTCAATTGTGAGGATGAGGCATGAGGTGCTGAATTGGCAATCTGTATTTTGACTTTGTATCTAGAATTCAAATGCCAGGTTTGAGGCACAAATTGCCAAAATAGTATTTGTGATCTAGTTTTGTGTGTTGCATTCGAATACCAATCAAGGATGAGGCACATAGTGCCAAATTGTTATTCCTACTTGGTAATACATAAAAGCACAATTTTTCTTTATCTCTTCCTTATATTATTCTACCTTTATGTATTACCACAGAATATGCTATGTATTTTCCAAGATGCTCAGTTATAATTTCTCAGTACAAATCTTCATGATTACATTTTGAGCAGATTGAATACTGTGAGATCAAAATTCGCATCTCACACAAATCTCTCAGATTTGGTTAAAATATTATTTATTCCGTTTTCTGGCAGTATCCAGTATGTAATTCTTTGATTACTTTCTTTTACTATAGCGCTCAAACTATTTAATTATTTGCAGGGCAAGTTTTCTTACTTCCCTTCCAGTAATGTTTACTCAGCAGTTGCTATGTTTGCTGCCTGAGCCGGAACGTGTCAATTATTATCTCTTCTGATAATAATCCCAGTATCCTCCTTGATACTGATGTGTTATGTTTATATAAATGGTTCAGTGTTTCTAACTGACCGCACCTAGCTAGGGTCCCCTTATTTAGGCATTGGCCTAAATCTAAATAAAAATAAAGAAAATAAAATTAAAAGAAAATACACACACTATACTTATCAAAGGCGTCCCCCTGGTAAGATAGTAATTAATTAATAATTAATTTAGAGTTAAAGGTTTATGTGGTTTTGGAAGCGGGTGGATAATTCCACTGGCAATAGATTGTTTTTAAGAGATAATTATGTTTGTATTTTATTATTATGATATTATGGTTATTACAAGTTAATAGTTAAGAATGAATTAACTAACTATTACATGAAAGAGAAATTTACAACATATTTATACATGTTGAAGGTTCTATCATCTAGTTATCTGACTTTGTTGAAATCCTAATTTATACTAATTAATATATTCTTTAAATATCATTTGAACCTTCTGTGTGGAATTATTTTCAAGTTATTTCTAGTCAATGTGAGTCATGTAAAATTCTTTTGCTTAAATATTATTCTGAGACTTTGTAATCCGTTACACTTTAGAATGTTGGAATATTTATATCTCCAATGTTTGGGTTATTTTCCGATAGCTATTTATCTGATTGGTGCGCCTCATTAATTGGTGTAACATTTATTAAATTGTACTGGTTTATTTCTTGTTGAGTTATTCCGTGATAATCGTTTCCAAATTTTCACTTTGTGATACATGTAAATCATTTCCGATTTATATGTTCGTTTCCCGTGATTTATAATTTACTATTTTTACAGTATCATAATACAGTATTGTTTATTTTTGTTTTAAATGACAACTACCAACCTCATCAAAGAATGTTTCCCTGGATTACTTGAATTATTTAAATTTTTTAATACCACATATTGTCTTCTTAAATAACTGAGCTCCTTTTTATTTTCATTATAATCAATTATATGACCTCTTGTCCATTTAGCTTTATAAATTGAACTAAATCCACCTTCTGTTAACTTTGTTATATTTCAAATTGCTCAAAGGTATCCATTCTAAAATATATCTTGGCAGAGATGATTTCATTTGGCATTGTTGAATAAAGTTATCAATTATGTTATCTCCAGATGTCCAAGTGATGAAGAGACTCTGTAATTTTAAACTAATACAACCTTCACAGAATCTATCATAATCAGAGTATCTTGTCAATTTACACTTGTCACATTCTTTTGGTTTTCCTCTTTATTTTTTGCATTTCTTAATTCAGACTCATAAATAAACTTTTCTTTACAAAATTTTTTTTCATTTTCAGAAAGCTCCTTGTTTTTTTTTGGACTAATGAAAAAAAATAATCTTTTTCATTTTCTATATCAGAATTAACCAGAGCATTATCATACATTTCATTATGAATTTTAAATACAAAATCCTCTCGTTCTGATGATAATAAGTCAATATATGACATTATATAAAATAAATGTTTTGGTTTAATGGAGAAAATGGGGGTTTAAGAATAACGCCAATTCATAGTAGTCGGACGACATTTCACAGTGACTGATTTTAATATATGATCGACATGACACGTTTTCTGTACAACGGACTTTGGCGAATGAATTGAACGTAAACTCATTATTAAACAATTTTCGTGCCTCTAAGT